CGGAGGCCCATTGCCACGTGCATCTGTATGGTTGCTGATTGCATACGGTCGGGAATCCATTGTTCTGCGCATTACTTTGCAAATAAAGATATTATTTGCAAGTGTGAATGGTGGATTTTTTTTCATATGTTTTCGTTAACTTTTTTTTTTTTTTTTTTTTTGGCTTTCTGTGTCAGTCGGTCTGTCTCTTTTTCTTGGGAAAGAGAGACACAGGAGAGAGATATGAGAAAGAAGAGGGGAGAGAGAGAGAGAGAGAAGAGAGAGAGAGAGAAGAGAGAGAGAGAGAGAGAAGAGAGAGAGAGAGAGAGAGAGAGAGAGAGAGAGAGAGAGAGAGGGAGAGAGGAAGAGGAAAAGAGAGAAAGAGAGAGAAAGAGAGAGAGAAAAGAAAGGAGAGAAAGAGAGAGAGAAAAGAAAAGGAGAGAGAGAGAGAGAGAGGGAAAGGAAGAAAAGAGAGAAAAAAAAGAAAAAGAATAGAGAAAAAGAGAGGGAGGAGAGTGAGAGAGAGGCAGAAAGAAAGAGAAGAAAAGAAAAGAAAGAAAGAAAGGAAAAAAAAGAAGAAAGAGAAAGAGAAAGAAAGAGAAAAAAGAAAGAGCGAGAAAGAGAAAGAAAGAGAGAGAGAGAGAGAGAGAGAGAGAGAGAGCAGAGAGAGAGAGAGAGAGAGAGAGAGAGAGAGAGAGAGAGAGAGAGAGAGAGACAAAGAGCGGCCCCATCGATTTCTCTCCCGCCCGCATCTCCGTAACAGATGACAGCATCGACACTTCCGGTCATCGCAGCCTCTCTGGGTCTTGCATTTATCATGTGTTTTGTAATTCTTCTTTACGGATCAGTTACTTCTTATTCTCTATCTTCATTTTCAATATTGTTATCAGCATTACTACTAGCAATATTATTATCATTTTCCTTGTTATACTTATTATCGTTGCAATGATAATGATTAAAATTATAGTAATGATGACAAATATAATGATGAAGATAATGATTTTAATGATAATGATAATATTATTGATTATAGTTATGATAACCATAACAATAATGATAATAATTATTACTATTATCATCCTTTATGTTATTGTTATTGCTTTTATTAATGTTATCCTCATTACTATCATTATCGTTATCATTATTGTAAATATCCTTATTACTATTATTTTGTTGTTGTTATCATTATCATTCTTTATCATAATTATCATTATTACTATTATTTTTGTTGTTATTATTTTTTATTATAATTATTATTGTCATAATTACTATTATCATTATTATCATCATTTTCATTATCATTATTATTGTTATCATTGCTATCATTATCATTATTGTTTATCATTTACTATCATTATTATTATCTTCATTATCATTATTAGTAATCATCATTGTAATAATAATGATATTATTACATTTTATAATAATAATATCATTATATTTATGATCATTTATTGTATTATATTTATTCATTACATTATATCATTACCATTATCATCACCATTATCATCA